TGCCTGGACTAGTCCCCACAGGGTTCTTGGCAAGATTTCGGAAGTTGTTTGCCATTGCCTGCTTCCTAGGGCTGAGAGAGAGTGACTGGCCCAAGGTCACCCAGCTGGCTTTGTGCTAAGGTGGGACTAGAACTCAGAGTCTTCCAGTTCATAGCCTGGTGCCTTAACCACTACACCAAACTAGCTCTTTAATAGTAATAATTAAAAGTAGATAAAAAGAGAAGACATGGAGAATAGGCTAACTCAGAGATGAACTATAGGTACCAGACAAGACTTCACTCATGAATATTGGGTTGTTTATTCATGGAATAAGAAGGCATGCTGTAAGTGCCATTAGCTTGGAATTTAATTTAGATAGTAAGACCCTGCTTGAAGTGTAGAGTAAGATAAGGGGATGTGGAAAAGGTGGGCTTTAACACCTTGGTATGCACTTCACATATTGACATGGAAATTAGGACATAAATGTATATGGAATGAAAGGACTTCAAACTCTTTGTTCTGGGTCCCTCTAGCTAAAGGCACATTCTTGTATAAGAATTTGTTTTAATAAACTTCAACTTTGCCATTGTGCCTGGTTCATTTGGACTCAGCTAGGAACAGATTTTCCAGTGGATATTTTTCCACAGCAGAACACAATGACAAACTATTTCCTTACTGTTGCTGAGAAAGCTACATGGATGTGCCCATGAAGTCATCAGAAGCCAAACCTGACTTGAACAATACTTGATTGTATGATTTTAAACAGAAAGAAGACCAGAAGTATAGGCTGCATAGTTCTTTCTTTGTATGTTTCATGTTCTTAGACAGATGAAGAGAACTTCATTGCTTCTAAGGCACAAAGAACTTCACTGAGGCATAACCAAGCCACTGGGCCTACTGTGAGTACATTGCTGGTTTCTCCATCTCAAATATGATATTACTGTAAGTGTGCTTTTCCAAGAAACAGATCTGTGATCTTTTCCAGCCTGGTGCCCTCCCCAGATGTTAGACTATATCCAGAAGCTCCAGTCAGTGGGGTCAGCAGGACACTTGGACTATCCTAGAAATCTGTCAAGTTATATTAGGCACAAAACTTAAATGCATGCTCTGTGTTCAAATACAGTATTATTTGGGAAAGTTGGACACTCTGGAATGAACAGTCACATTAGACAGTTGCCTCTGTGTACTCCTTGTAAGCTCTTTGGAAATATCTGATTGATCTTTGGTCTCTCTGGGCTCTTACAGTCCTACCACTTAGAACCACATTCTTCAAATAATTCCATTAAAGATGGTCCTTCCTACTGTGGGAAGGATTCAGGTGTTAACTCTCTCTCAGTCCTCTTGGGGAAGTTAATCTCAAATACATCATTTAAACAAGAGCAACAGTTTCCTTTAAGATGATAGGAGGAGTTACATAAGGAGGTCTGAGGACAATGCCAGTTATTTAGTATATTCTATACTTCCTCTACCTGTTAACTACTCTCATCCTTTATTACTTGAGTTAGTCAGCCAAGATAGACCCATGAATAAAGATGGTGAGATGCTTTGGGATTGAAGGTCTGACCCTCCTCTCTCTTCTTGTGGGTAAGAGAGTATCGCTGCTTTAAGGCACCCATTTCTTCAATACATGGGTGGGTGTATAGGTTCAGCCCTCCTCTTATCTACTTAATTTACCAGGGACCCCATTTTTTAAAATTTTGAATAATTTAACCATAAACATCAACAGATGATGAGAGAATTTTTTTTTACTAAAAGTAAAGTTTAGCATATTTAACCCAGGACAGATTACTAATTTTATTTTACTTGTTCTTATTTTAGAAATTGCCTCTACTGTTAAATGTATGAAATTGGGTAAGACCCTAGACCTGATAGTAGAATGGTATAAAAAGTATATTAGGTATTTTTCTCCTATTTTACTAGAGGCATATATTTATCCTTTTTCAAAAAATTATTATCTTTTAGTTTTAAGGAGAGAAATTTCTTAAGTTAGAGAAAGAATCTGCTGTGTGTTCCAATTATGCATGCATTCCTTTGATAAATGTGGATATTAAAAGAGTTTAACGGCTATTTTGGCCTATAGATTCCAGGGCATTGTTCCAACTGTTGTATATCTAGCTGAGGCTGGCTTAATACAGCATTGTCAAATTTCTGATGATAGCAGATTTTTAATAGATGTTCTTTCTTTGACTAAAAAATAACTTCAATTTATTATTTCGATTCTGAGAAAGGTTTTGTTTTGCTTTATTGGACATTTTAGAGGTATGTCTGGATTTAATATGGGTTTTCCCAAGGTTTGGATTGATAAGGTTTATTCACCTGTGATCATGATGCATACCCTCTGATGTAATATTTCCTGAGGTTTACACTATAGATATCCTCTTTCTCTATTTCTAATTTAGCTTTAGAACTGTGTTTTCCAGATTAATCTAAATACATATTAGATAAATATTGGGAATGTTCTATATCAGAGGCAGGCAACCCAATGCCCTTCAAATGATCTGGACTACAACTCCCATAATCCAATCAATATTACCAGTGGTTCAGAATTATAGGAGATAGAGACAAAAATTATAGATCCCACAACCTCCAATATTAGGAGGTACAATTTGAAAACTGGTTTATTTCACTTGTTTACTGCCATTTCAAAAATGCTGTTTGCATTGAGTACAATTATTCATTACATCTGTAACCTGAGAATCAGTATAGTACGTATGATTACCATCCTACATGTAAAAGAGTAGGGGATTTTAAATTACATGTAGAAAAGTTTAAACTAAAGGTGAGAAGGCTTAAAAGTAAATTCAGAAATATGTAGTAAAAGGAAAAAAATCATATCATCTGTCTGCCTCTCTGCCAATCAATCATCTATCTGACTGCTGTAATTACGAGTCCAAGATCACACACTGATGGTAAAGTGTAGGTATATCATATTTTGGCTGCAACAATGTAGAAAACTGCTAGATGATAATAAAGAGATACATAGGCAGCTAGTTCTTTGTTGTCTTCTAGAATTTTACACAAAATGTTATGCCAATTTATGTTGTGGTCACAGGGTGCTAAGTGGGCACTTTGAATCTTACAATATATGGACTGTCATCTAAAGCTAAAGCTACTTCACTCTTATCCTTCAAGGTTTCTTCTTACAATCACTTACAGAGAGGGCATTACTGTGCTATTAAGCATTGGATCTTGGATCCCATTCAGCCATGGGTCAAGCGTATGTAAGGACTGATCATCTGGACTGTCCTTAAAATGGGACAAAATTACTTTTTTATCCTGCCCCAGAAGTCTTCCTTCATAATTTAAAGGACAGAAAGGAACTATTTCACCACCTGGGAAACTGTGTTTATAGCAACTCTTTTGTATCTGTTCTTTTCCAGGAAAATCAGTAGACACGTGCTATTACACTGCTATTTAATATTAAAATCAGTAACCTGATTCTTGTGCTCTTTTAATTCTGTCTCTTACAAAGCATTAGACAGAATGTTGACTTTGGATTGAGAAATCTCGATTCAAATCTTTTCACATACAAACTGACATATTTGCATATGGATCAGAATGAGATGGTAAACATGTGGCTTTCCACACTCTGTGGGCCTGGGTTAGTTCTGAAGCTTTTTTTTTTCTTTTTCCCATCTCTGTGTCTCTCATATGCATATCCAAACTAAAAAAGGGGGGGGAGGGGGAGGAAAAAAAGATATAATCTGAATTGGAAATCATTGTGCTCTGGGGACCACATTTAGAATTTTGAGAGAATGTTTTGGCCATCTTTTCATAAAATAGATGGGATTAAGAATGTGAGAAATCACAAGCTGTCCATTTACGAGAAATAAAATTGGTGAATTTGATCCACACCAATGGTCCTTCAGGATTCTTTTTAACCACTCCTGTTTGTTCACTTGTTTTTTTCCCCAGGAGCTGGTAGGCATATTTCTCCCAGCAGTGAAAGAAAGTGCTAAACTGCTGATACCATACATACTGTTTTCTTTTTCTAAAACAGACGATGAGACCCATGCTTTCGCCAAGGATATTCTTAAAAATAGAGACAATACCATAGCAGGGATAAACCATTTCTTTGTGGTGGTAATTCACCTTTTTTCCCTTCTATTTTTGCAGCTCCCAAGAGCCATAGAAAGTGTGGTTTTTCTCATTTTGGGGGGACCTGGGTGGGTTTTGTAAACAATTGGTTCTTGAGACATCTTGAAGGCTGCAATATGAATGCTGTTGTTATTTTTCTTATTACGTAATTAGTGTTTTGTTACCCAGCTTTGATAGTGGAATCTGGTAGGAAGGGAAACTATACCAATTGTGGGATGCCCACATTTGAGATAGAAATGTGCTTTGCTTAGTTTCATGTGTGTGTGTATACACACAGACACATACACATTCATACATACACACATACATATCCATCACACTATTCCCTTTCAACATAAGCAGCATTATGTAAAGAACAGAGAAGGAGTAAGAAGGAAGCAAAAGAGATTGGAGAGAAAACCGAACTGTCTATCCTTGCGGAGCAGCCTTGCTTCCTCATTGTCCGTACACTCATTCATAATGGTCTTTTATTCTCTCACGTCTTTCTCATCAACTCTGTTTTATTTTGGAATGAAAACAGTCTTTCAATTTGGTTTAAAAGGGAGAGGACAGTAGGGGGGAAATGTTAAGAAAAGTGCCGAAGATAACTCACTGCTGTTATCTCACACAAATCCCCCCAAGCCCTGAAACTCATTGGATGGTGTTGAGTCAAGAGTCCCTTCAGATCTGTATCCTTATGTGCCACAGATAAGCCAGGGATTGGTGATATGTGTTATAGTGAGAATGACTATTTTTGAATGACACACAGCCCATTTCTAAAGTTCCAAGTCTTGTTTCTTATACATATTTATTGAAAAGTTAATCCTAAAAACATGTCATCACAGACATTGCTGGTCTAAAAAGTGATCCAATATAGTATATGATTGCTGGATTATTTATATGTCCTCTTTTGTTTTGTCTCTGGCTACCTTGTTTGGTCCGTTCAGCCTCTTTTGATGTTTCTTTTCTTGTCTTCACAGGCATTACTGAGGCCAAGCCACCTCCAGGTGAGTAAGGTCTTCAATGGGTTTCTGCTGCAGGGAACCCATGGCCTAGACACTTACCTGTGTATCTTGCTCTTCCCACAGCTTGTGGCCGATTGATCTCCTCTGCCCGAATTGTGGGAGGTTTTGAGGCTGAGGTGGGTTCATGGCCATGGCAGGCCAGCATACAGATTTTAGGCTCACATCAGTGTGGGGGTACTCTCATTGCCTCAAGCTGGGTTCTTACAGCAGCACATTGCTTTAGCAGGTGAGAACAGTTGCCAAGCTTCACTCCCTTCATACAGTACAAAACCCCACAAGGTTGATCCTTAGACTTCTGAAACTAATTTATAAAGCTCCATTCACCTTGCAGAGAAATCTGGCATCTTAGAGGTCAACTTCTACCATTATTTCACTAAGAAACCATGTGTTCAAGCTGTTAGCTGTTATTTGCTACTCATGACAAACATTGTTCTCCCATTCCTAAGGAAGTGGGACTTATAGTTTTCAGTCCCACCCTGTCCAGTAGGTCCTATTTCTCTTCCAATAGGTTCAAGCATGTTTCTTTTGAGTTTTCCTATTGAGGTATAAAGCCCAATCTCCCCCCAAGATTTCTTTTCTTTTCTCCCCACCCCCACCCCAATTAAAATGGCTCTTCAACTTTCTCTTAACCATCTAACTTCAACCTCCTCCTCTTCCTAGCTGAATTTTAAACAATATATCTGTTTTTGATGTCATGTTCCTGCTTGTGTTTCACTAGCCAATCTCTCTGTCTACAGTTGCTCAGATCCCTCTCTATTTGTCATTCTTTTGGGAGCCTACAATCTCTCCTATCCGGGACCAGAGTCAATACTAGTGAATGTGAAGCAAATTATTGTCCACTCCAACTATTCTGGGTTCACAAAAGGCAATGATATTGCACTGATGGAACTGAAGAGCCCTGTGAATTTCACCCAGCATATCCAGCCTGCCTGTTTCCCAGGACCTTCCATTGTCTTCCCTCCCAGATTGGGTTGTTGGGTCGCAGGCTGGGGGAACATTGAATCAGAAGGTGAGGCTATCAGAGAGATTTCTGTATTGTTCTATATGCATGTAGTTCCATTTCTGTTGGTGATCCTTGACAGCTTTTTCTAGCAGTGATGGATAGCAGCATCTAGAATAGCAGCTGAGTCTGGTGAGTAGTGGTCACTATTTTAATTTCCAATAGTGATCTGGAGTGACATTACTTCAAGGACATTGTGAGAATTAAGATGGTAGCTACCCTGAGATCTGATTATGTGATTTGGTACTGGTGGCTTTTTACTGCCAGTGTGGTTAGAAAAAAATGTCAAAGAGGCTTTAGGGCATACCTGACAGAGTTGTTAGGCTCTTGGCAGCTACCTTTCCAGAATCCATAGATATCAATTCCTACTATCAGCTGTAGACAGAATTAATCAGACTATCTTTGTGTTATAGATACTCAGCTATATCTATTCCAAGACTATTTATGGAAATAGTCCTTGTTTTCCCCTTATCCATCCCAGTTGAATCATTCTGATTCTACTTGTGTTTTTCACCATTTAGAAAAGGTTATTTAGTGTATGTGTTTTTATGCTGCTATGATGGTTTAGTTTTCTTTCCATTGTGTAGCTAAACAAAGCTGATAAGAGGAAAGGAATGTTCTTGTGATTCAGTTTACCAATGTATTGTCTTGGTAATGCTTACTTTAATAGAGGTATACAGGCAAATACAGTGGAACCTCGAGTTACGAATTTAATCCGTTCCATGACTCTGGTTGCAACTCGA